GGACACAAAGAATTCTCAATAGACTTACCTGACAGGTAGGGACACAACTAATTCTCAATAGACTTATCTGAGAGGTAGGGACACATAGAATTCTCAATAGACTTACCTGAGAGGTAGGGACACAAATAATTCTCAATAGACTTACCTGACAGGTAATTATATAAGGACACAAAGAGTTCTCAATAGACTTATCTGAGAGGTAGGGACACAATGAATTCTCAATAGACTTACCCGAGAGGTAGGGACACAAATAATTCTCAATAGACTTATCTGAGAGGTAGGGCTCAATAGACTTACCTGAGAGGTAGGGACACAAAGTCGATGTCGCTAGTTAAGGCAAGTAGAGACGTGCCAAGATCAGCCTCTCTGACCACACCCACTCCAAGCACGGGGGACGGAGGACTGTAACACAGAAGCTGTAACAATCAACAGCTAACCAATCTGATCTGCCCTGCCTACCTTGTTTATGATCCCTGAACCATGACCAAAAACACTTACTTTAATTGAAATGATTTTTTTTACTTGCATTACAAAAGCAAAAACTATAGCAAAATCAAGGGACCATAGGGATTTTTGGCGCCCACCATCATATGAAATTTAGTTCTATGTAAGTTTGATTTAATCCATCTTGTTGTAACTTTTGAGCAAAACTTCACACAGCTGTATCTGAATATGTCCTTTCAAAGATAGGTCGTCGCCCAGAGGGCATGTATCACTCACCTGGATATTTGAGCATTCATGGGAAATTTTTCTCTATAAAAGTACTTTTGCAAACATTTCCATATATATTGAGTGTCCTTGGCTGAAGAATGTTCCAGACTAAATGAAATTTATACTACTCTATCCCAGAATGCTGTTGGTCAAATATCATCACCCAGGGCCCCCTGGTATTGCAGAAGATTTGTTTAAAATTATTTTTTTAACATATTTTACCCCTGTAACTGTGAAAGTAGGTCAAGGTCAATCATTTGAGGAGTTTTATAGCACTCTGTCACAGGTACCTATATTCTACTGGCCAAGTATCATTACTCTGGGCCTCCTGGTTATTCAGAAGAAGTTGTATAAAGATTTTTTATACACTAGTGAACCATGAAAGTAAGTAAAGGTAATTTATTGGAGGAAGCTTTCTAGCACCCTGTCCCGGGTACCTACAGGCCAAATATCTTTGCTTTAGGTCTCTTGGTTAATCTGAAGAAGATGTTTAAAGCTTTTTAATCCTTTTTACCCTTGTGACCTTGAAAGTAGATCAAGGTAATTTATTTGAGGAACTTTTATAGCACTCTGTCCCAGGTACCTACTGGCCAAATATTGTGGCCCTATGTCCTCCAGTTCTTAAGAAGTCATTTAAAGAAAAACTACGGACAACGGACAAAACACACCATACCATAAGCTCATCTGGCACTTTGTGCCTTGTAAGGTAACAATAAGAGGAATCTTCGTTTTCTGGAAGACATATTTTTCTTGTGATTTAGCAAATTCGAAACAAAATAAGCAAAACTAAAGAAGAACTTACTTTACAATACAAGGGAAATCTAGACACGAAATTTGAAAGATTTGTCAAGTAGTTCTGGAGAAATAGTGACAAAAAATGAACTGTCAAAATCCAATATAGCTGTCTGGCCAGTCCCAAGATCAAACAAGCATAACTACAGATCAAACCTAAAAGTATCTATGCAACTGTCTGTAACTCATTCTATTTTATTTCACATACATTAACAATTCATTTTTTGATGCAGATAATTTATAATTTCACCGATATTTTGCCTAAAATAAATAATACCTAAACAATTGTTTAAATATCCTGAAAAACAAGGCAGAGTATTGCAAGGCAATCCATAGTCCCCCACCAGTAATGATTTCTATATTTAACAAACAGTACACTTATGTTAGGAAGCATAGGTCACAGTGAGAATATAGTGACCTTCTTCTTGCACTCTGACATCCCAAGATGTCGTTGTACACCAAATCTTGTTACTCCAGGTGAAAAAGTACAGAAGATATGCCCTGGACAAACATTTTCAAAAGTAAAGGTCAAGTCATAGGTCACAGTGACCTAATTCTTGCACTCTGCAATCCCAAGATGTCCCTGTACACCAAATCTTGTTACTCCAGGTGAAATAGTACAGAACATATGCCTGGACAATTTTTTTTAAAGTTAAGATCAAAGATCACAGTGACCTTCTTCTTGCACTCTGACATCCCAAGATGTCGTTGTACACCAAATCTTGTTACTCCAGGTGAAATAGTACAGAAGATATGCCCTGGACAAACATTTTCAAAAGTAAAGGTCAAGTCATAGGTCACAGTGACCTAATTCTTGCACTCTGCAATCCCAAGATGTCCTTGTTCACCAAATCTGGTTACTCCAAGTGAAATTAAACAGAAGGTATGCCTAAGACAAACTTTTTCAAAAGTTAAGGTCAAAGGTCAAGTCATAGTTCACAGTGACCTAATTCTTGCACACTGGGAGGTAATCCGGACACAAATTGGCCCTGGCACTGGGAGGTAAGTATGACACAATTTGGCCCTGACACTTGGAGGTAAGCCTGACACAAATTGGCCCTGACACTGGGAGGTAAGCCTGACACAAGTTGGCCCTGACAATGGGAGGTAAGTCAGACACAAGTTGGCCCTGGCACTGGGAGGTAAGTCAGACACAAGTTGGCCCTGACACTGGGAGGTTAGTCTGACAGAAGTTGGCCCTGTAACTTGGAGGTATGCCTGACACAAGTTGGCCCTGACACTGGGAGGTAAGTCAGACACAAGTTGGCCATGGCACTTGGAGGTATGCCTGACACAAGTTGGCCCTGACACTGGGAGGTAATTCAGACACAAGTTGGCCATGGCACTTGGAGGTATGCCTGACACAAGTTGGCCCTGACCCTGGGAGGTAAGTCTGACACAAGATGGCCCTGACACTGGGAGGTATGCCTGACACAAGTTGGCCCTGACACTGGGAGGAAAGTCAGACACAAGTTGGCCATGGCACTTGGAGGGATGCCTGACACAAGTTGGCCCTGACACTGGGAGGAAAGTCAGACACAAGTTGGCCATGGCACTTGGAGGGATGCCTGACACAAGTTGGCCCTGACACTGGGAGGAAAGTCAGACACAAGTTGGCCATGGCACTTGGAGGGATGCCTGACACAAGTTGGCCCTGACACTGGGAGGAAAGTCAGACACAAGTTGGCCATGGCACTTGGAGGTCTGCCTGACACAAGTTGGCCCTGACACTGGGAGGAAAGTCAGACACAAGTTGGCCATGGCACTTGGAGGGATGCCTGACACAAGTTGGCCCTGACACTGGGAGGTAAGCCTGACACAATTTGGCCCTGACACTGGGAGGTAAGCCTGACACAAGTGGGCCCTGACACTGGGAGGTAAGCCTGACACAAGATGGCCCTGACACTTGGAGGTATGCCGGACACAAGTTGGCCCTGACACTGGGAGGTATGCCTGACACAAGTTGGCCCTGACACTGGGAGGAAAGTCAGACACAAGTTGGCCATGGCACTTGGAGGTATGCCTGACACAAGTTGGCCCTGACACTGGGAGGTAAGCCAGACACAAGTTGGCCCTGACACTGGGAGGTTAGTCTGACAGAAGTTGGCCCTGTAACTTGGAGGTATGCCTGACACAAGTTGGCCCTGACACTGGGAGGCAAGTCAGACACAAGTTGGCCCTGATACTGGGAGGTTAGTCTGACAGAAGCTGGCCCTGTAACTTGGAGGTATGCCTAACACAAGTTGGCCCTGACACTGGGAGCTAAGTCTGACACAAGTTGGCCCTGACCCTTGGAGGTTAGTCTGACACAAGTTGGACCTGACACTGGGAGGTAAGTCAGACACAAGTTGGCCCTGACACTGGGAGGTAAGTCTGACACAAGTTGGCCCTGACACTTGGAGGTTAGTCTGACACAAGTTGGCCCTGACACTGGGAGGTAAGTCAGACACAAGTTGACCCTGACACTGGGAGGTAAGTCTGCGTCTACCAGAACACCAATGTTCAAACACTGCCAGTGCTCTTGACCTTACAGCCATCAGGATCTGCTTATAATGAGTGTTGAAGTTATAATGTTACAATAATCCTAGTATCGTTTTTTTTCAGTGATGTTTACCTGGATGGTAAGGGTTTTGTACATATCAGGTGTTCCACTATACATTCCTGCTGTTCAGGGAGATCCTGTAAATCTGCTCCGTCTACAAATAAGTACAAATAATAATTAGACCTGTTTCTACCATCACATGTCAGAATGTTGTCAATGATTTTAGACTTACAGGCTCAATAGAGTTTGGCTACTATGGTAACATGACTATCCTAACAGGCCAAATATAGTTTGGCTACTATGGTAACATGACTATCCTTACAGACTCAATAGAGTTTGGCTACCATGGTAACATGACTATCCTTACAGGCTCGATAGAGTTTGGCTACTATGGTAACATGACTATCCTTACAGACTCAATAGAGTTTGGCTACCATGGTAACATGACTATCCTTACAGGCGCAATAGAGTTTGGCTACTATGGTGACATGACTATCCTTACAGGCTCAATAGAGTTTGGCTTCCATGGTAACATGACTATCCTTACAGACTCAATAGAGTTTGGCTACCATGCATGGTAACTTGACTGGCCTTACAGGCTCAATAGAGTGTGGCTACCATGGTAACATAACTATCCTTACAGACTCAATAGAGTTTGGCTACCATGGTAACATGACTATCCTTACAGACTCAATAGAGTTTGGCTACTATAGTAACATAACTATCCTTACTGGCTCAATAGAGTTTGGCTACCATGGTAACATGACTATCCTTCCAGGCTCAATAGAGTTTGGCTACCATGGTAACATAACTATCCTTACAGACTCAATAGAGTTTGGCTACCATGCATGGTAACTTGACTGGCCTTACAGGCTCAATAGAGTGTGGCTACCATGGTAACATAACTATCCTTACAGACTCAATAAAGTTTGGCTACCATGGTAACATGACTATCCTTATAGGCTCAATAGAGTTTGGCTACCATGGTAACATAACTATCCTTACAGACTCAATAGAGTTTGGCTACCATGCATGGTAACTTGACTGGCCTTACAGGCTCAATAGAGTGTGGCTACCATGGTAACATAACTATCCTTACAGACTCAATAGAGTTTGGCTACCATGGTAACATGACTAACCTTACAGGCTCAATAGAGTTTGGCTACCATGGTAACATGACTATCCTTACTGGCTCAATAGAGTTTGGCTACCATGGTAACATGACTAACCTTACAGGCTCAATAGAGTTTGGCTACCATGGTAACATGACTATCCTTACAGGCTCAATAGAGTTTGGCTGCTATGGTAACATGACTATCCTTACAGGCTCAATAGAATTTGGCTGCTATGGTAACATGACTATCCTTTAAACTACTTCAAAATTCTCAAAGTCAATGTTGGCCGAAATATGGCAGCAACCACCTTGTATCCATTTTGAAGATTGTTTCGCCATTGTTTGTAGTTACATATACAAGCTATGCAGTTCTTTCATGTTTTGTTTCTTATCATTAGAATAAAGGGAACAGAATTTTTATACTACCGACATCTTGTCGGTTTTTGCTGCTTTTTGTATTTGTTATAGACCCTAATTATGTACTTAATATTCTAAAGACTATGGACTCCAGTTTTCCAGTCACATGCACTTTTGACATGTTGCTTTTTTTGTACCTGAAGTATATAAGAATAATGTACTTTGTGATGGTGAACATGATAACATAGTTAACAACACTGACAGTGGCAACCACAGCAAATACAAAATTTGTCCCTAGAACAATTCTGACAGGGTTAGGTCATTGGCCCCAAATCCCCTCCCAGAATTATCTTCTTTATTAAACAAATATTGATTTTGGGGATTGTTACAAACAGAATCTGACGTTATGCTGATCTAAGGGATGGGCGTCTATATTATTTATTTTGAGAAAAGAATGTTGCTATGGTTACCGTCGAAACAGAATGTCTGTAGGTTGCTGAGCCAGGGCAGAATGACAGTGTGGATTCCCGCCGCGTGACAACAGTGGTACCAATCAGAATTGACCGCATCTGAAACAGCAAATGTATACGAAAATATATACTGGGTAAGACATAGGTCTTTTCATACTTACAAAAGGCCTATCGCGTCTAATATCATTCATCTTTTTTCTGAACGAGACAAGAATTTGATTTGTTTCTGCTTAAATGGGGCGATATATGAAGAAACTGGTAAGATTATAAGAATAAAGGCTAAGGGTACCATCAACTATGTAAATTGTAAGTAAAGTGGCTTTAAAAATATGAAATCTTTTTTTATTTTATTTCTGAGGCCCATGTTCTACGAAAATTTCCAACAGACAACTGCGACAACATCTCTAGCTGACCGATTACAAATCCGGCCCACAGGTAAATGGTCGCAACAATGCACAGGGTTTGCCTAAGAATGCAATCATGTGTGACAGTGCGCTGTCAGCCGGTGTAGGGAGGAAGGGGTTGACACATACGTATACTGGCACCCTCTATTTATCATGGCCAGCTATTTGCCACTGATCTGCATACAAATTTCATCAATATGCAGCCGAGGAGGATTTGAGTACCATAAATTACATTGGGCCATGTGTCGGCCTGAACTTTATAATTACTGTATACATCAGGAGATCAGATGTCTCCCTCTAATTGAAAAACAAGTCAAATGTAGCAATATAATTAATTACAGCGTAAAGCTCACAGCCAACACACAACGTTTACTTATGCTTTCGGGTGAAACGTCACTCTGTTAATTGAAAAATTAAAAAATGAGACAAATCCGTGCGTATAATCATAGTGTCTGACTAGGACCGTCTCCTGTCAACCATTTTACCGAGCCCCTCGTTATTCACCTTATTTATCTGATACTCTGTTATACCATTTTGTTACAGTATTTGGACACAGAAAATGTTGTTTTTTCCCTTGTTAACCTGTTAAAGGTATGTATCTATTCCACAACTCTGTTTTAAATTATCTTATCTACATTCTGTTAACAATGAAATGATAACTTTGTCAGCAGCTGTTCCCACAATTAAAACATAATCTTTACAACAAATTTTAGACAACGTTCAAAGGTCCAACACGAAAGTCTGTAAAGACCGTCCAAGTGATTTAGCCAAGACCGGTGTAATAGATCAAGGCAAAGAGCCAACCTCTTAAAATGACGACTCAGGTGAGAGAGCAATATCCTGTCGAAAAATAACTCCAAAGGGAGCAAACCAAAATAGTCTCTATACACAGGAATTTGTTATAAATAGGTGTTCTTTAGGGCAGTTTATTTATTTCTTCTTCAATATTTACAAAACATCCTCCATTAGATGGGGAAATTCTGTTAATAATAATATTTCTGTTTAAACAATATTTTCTGCACCGAAATACCTTTTCTTAAAATTTGGTAAATTTGAAATAAAGTCCTTTTGAAAGTTACATGTTTTCCATCAAAGAACCAAATATACGTTAATTTGACAATTATTTCTTGCCAAAGGTTTTCATATTTCATGAACTACTAAATTTTTTAAATTTCAACATATTTTTGAAATCCACATGAAATATTTATGCAAATTTGACAGGAGTAATAATTAGTATAGCCATAATTTCCACAGCTTTCTACACCCTTCACTTCACTGTAAGGGACCTCCAACACATAAAAGCTACCTTCTCAGGTTTATGGTGATGTATCTAATTAATATTGTAACTTGCTAAAAGAAATTGTTTCCCTAGTGGCCTCTACCTAAGTAGTGAGACAGGAAGCTTACAATTGTATCTAAAAAGTCACAAATTAACTGTTATACCGGCTGTTGTCAGACTACTAAGATCGGGTGGGTTGTCACGGTAACATGTACATGTCCAGATCACCTTATTTGGACGAGGCACTTTGAAATGGTCCCAACATCAGTGGACAATGTACATGTGTTAATAAGATCTTAGTTGTACTGAAGATGTAATCCTGTTACAAGGTGCTATACAAAACATCAATGTAATATCTTCTTCTTTTCCAAATTTCTATAGCATTACATATATAGTAATATTGATAAATATGACCTCATTATTTCAGTCTTAAAAACAACAACCTTGGACATATTTTTTCTGATAAATGTACTGCTTACCAGTTGAATTGCCCAACTAGTGTCTCAAGTGAGAGTTACTTCCCATGAACAATGTACACAACATATTCTGCTTAATAGTCTTTTTTTCTTAAAGTTTCAATTTCATTTAATTCATCCCTTTCAAAAACAAAAAACAAATATAACTTTATATAACATGCAGAATTTTTCAGTAAATTTTAAGAAATTTTGAAAAAAAAAGACAAAAAAAAGACATTGCTACTAAATGCATTTGAATAAAAGCAGAGCTACTGCTTGTACTAATTTCTAGTTTGTGATTTCCTCCAAGCTTGTCCCGGTTGATAACATCAACATATAAAATTTTACTAGTTTTATCTATTTGTGGATTGGGGTTGGGGTTGATACTGGAATGTTTTGTGTGTGTACTGGAACACAATCCCAGATCTCTAGGATGCCCTGGTTACTTCAGTTATATTACCTATCACAATTTAACATTGATAAATGAATATGTGTACGTGGATTAAAATATCACATAAAGAGAACTAGAAACTGGAAAATAAATACACAATGTTGACATCAATTAAGGGAAAAAATAATGAAAATGTTAATTTGATTGAATACTTGTTGAAGCTGATCAGACGTCTGTGAGGGACAAGAGAAATGATAGAGAAGACTATTGTCAGGTGCTTGTTCTAAGTGTCCTCTAGCTCACCCAGTCAGACCCAATCCCGACCTGCTCAAGTCTCATTGAGAAAATATTCTATTTTTCACGTAGTGTCAAACACGATGTTCCGTAGATTTCCGGCAATAAACACTGGTGTTAGCCGTGACGGCATGTGTTACCTGTATCAAATGAAATTGGCAGGATTCTCTCAAGCACGAAATCATAAAACGTTGGTGAGCCGTGTTTACCCGACCTCCGACCCCTGTTGACTGTGAATGATGATGACCCTAACTGAGTCGTGACGGGTCACCTTAGGTCATTTCCTAGGTAAGGCACTAGTGATTAGTGTGGGGGACACTAGCGCTCGTGATAACGGGGGTGTACATTAACTCCTGTTCTTTATAACTTTTTAAAGGATTTAACAGCGTATGTAATCACAGCACAGCACCAATCTCTAGTCTCCAGACAGATTATCGGAAACATTGTGTCATTGGCAAACAAAAAAAGGCAAAACAAGCTCATTATTCCTTGAAAAGAGCTCAAACAATAGCTATGTTTAAATTAAGTTTTCCATTGTACCTGTATTAATATAACTGATTTGATTAATTCCCAAATCTATTTCATAAATATTTTCCTGTTCAAATTCATGATTAAATATTAAAAAAAAATCAACATGATTTTATTGATCAATACATATTTTATCCAAAAACTTGGCTTTTCTCTCAGATATCAGTTTCTACTGAAATTAAATGTTTTTCACAGAGAGTAGGAAACATGGAGGCATATAAAACTAGAATGACAGGAAATAATTGTTGCTTTTTACATAAATCATTTCTATATATTATGATTTATAACCAATGAACGTTGATGTTATCATGCAGGGTTCGTACAAGAAAATTCTACTTGAAATTCAAGGTATTTTTAGGGTTTTCTTCATTAAAGATGAGACTTAAAATCTCATTCCCAATTCCAAAAACAGAAACCCAGATGTGTAACCTGGAAGTATCTGGATTCGTCACATAAAAACTCAAATTAAAACTTGTCCGTATCCAGAAAATCTGGAAATTATCTTTTAATAAATATTTCATTTTTTGTATGATCTAAATTCATTTTTGTGAAAAATAATACAATACCTCAAAAATGTATATACAGCTACATTTAATGATCATTAAGCCTATTTGTGAAACTTGGGGGCTTTTAGGACCTTTTCATTAATTTTAAACTTGAACAAATCTCGTAAATTACAGCCAGAATTTCTTTTCCACTTATTCCAAATATTCAAAAATTAAGTGTCTTCCTTATACAAATATCATGATTAACTAGATCTTACCAATGGAGCTTTGCCAACAAGTAAGGAAATAAAACAAATGTTTTATGATACAGTAATGTCGTCTAGCCCTGGCAGTACCGGTCATTCATTAACGGAAATGATTATCACATAAGTGGAAAGCTCAGCCAGGACAGAAAAAGGAAGAAGAATGGGATGGAGCAGGCCCTGTATCTCACTAATTAATAGGACTCTAACTAATAGTATAATAATAATGGCCTGAGCTGCACTTGTCGTTACCGGTCCGCTCTCATCTTCTGTCCCCAGACATCAAACCTCGACCGTTAACGAGCTGAAAGGCGCTTTAATTAACAGATATTTCAAGTTTCTCTTTCAAATCACATATTTCAGTGTCAGCCATCTTGTATAACACAAGAGTTATTTCACCAAATGTGAAAGAAAATGACTGTTATGTCTACAACGCCATGAAAAATGACGTAACAATCTACCTTTACATGGGACAGAACTCCAGTGATGATCTGTGGTTTGAAGTGGGCCTACAAAAAAGCGATTCAGGCTCCTTTTATCCTGAATCGTGTCCCTTTTCCAATTCCCCCCAACTTTGATCCAGAACTATCCCAATTCCCCCCAACTTTGATCCAGAACTATCCCAATTTAACCCTTAGGCTGCTATATTGATTTCTATGTAAACGGACACCACTGCTGAATTAATTATTGAAATTTAAATTAATTTACTTGATTTTTCAAATGTGCATAACTTGGAAAATATTTGTTACATGTGAAAAAAAGTTATATAAAAATTGTTCATTGTTGTCTCTAGTTTATATTAACGTTTTCAATTCTAAAGTTGCTTGAGTATTTACCTGTACAGGTGGTAATAAAGGTAAGAAAATGTGAAACTTTTAATTAATCGGATTTAAGCAAGAGGAAGATCATTTTAAAACTATTTTCGTCCACAAATGTGATTGGCAAATGATAACAGAGATTATAAACTTCATTTTTGACATAAGACGCTGTATATTTACACGGAGATTCTCAGGTAAAAAGGTCAGATATTTCGTCAAGAATTGCATGTGATTTGCTACAGGTTTCAGGTCGCCATTCAATAAATTTACTGTCACAGTCGGCATATAAATATATCTTAGCTACGGTCTAGTTTATAATTAAATCACCGATAAAAAGTTTGAAGAATTAAATCGGTTCAAAACGTATCAATGTCAATGTTCAATTCGGCCTCACCTGCAGACGACATGTGCGCCTCGGTCCGCCGATATTTTCCTGTTTGCGTAGAGCACAAAGCCGTTTACTGGAAAGTTACATATTATGTAACACCGAAGTATTTCCACATCAACCATGCAAAACCCTTTAAAACCTTTATTATCATCGTAGGTGACGATGGAGAATAAATGTTCACCATCATATTCATCGCTTCAATCTACACGTCCGCCATTTTTATGATTTTTTTTTCGATTTGAAATTCTCTCGCACACCTTTGGTTATTACTAGGGTACACTGCCGTGAATATCGAAAGTAATGACAAAACAACCAATCAGAAGCCTTCTACTATACGCGTTCGGTTTTGGTATAGCAACAACCCGACTTCTCACTTCCTGGCTACCGATCAAAGGCTACAGACCGAGAAACGACTATAGTCGTGCGTAGCACTGACGGCCCGGCTTTTAAAAACGACTATTGTTGTGCGTAGCAGCCTAAGGGTTAAGATCCCTCCACAATTATTAACAATATACATAGTGCAATCCTAACAAGAGGACTAAAGGGCCTCAACACTCAGATTAACATGATGACCTAATTGAAATGAAAAAAGATGATCACATTACAATGTCTACAAAAGCTGTATTTGGAGGGGGCATCTCCGAATATCTTCAAAAGATTATTTAAAGGGGGCATCTCCAAATATCTTCAAAAGATTATTTAGAGGGGGCATCTCAGAATGTCTTCAAAAGATTATTTGAAGGGGACATCTCACAATGTCTTCAAAAGATTATTTAGAAGGGACATCTCACAATGTCTTTAAAAGTTTATTTGTAGGGGGCATCTCACAATGTCTTCAAATCCACCCAAACAAATATTGACAAGTTGGAAATGGTCCAGCGAAGGGCAGCGCGCTATGTGCTCAATAAGCACAGGTACAACCATCGTACCTCCAGTGTGTCAGAAATGTTGGACCACCTAAAGCTGCGCCCTCTTGCAGATAGACGTAGAGATGCTCGTCTGACCATGCTTCATAACATTGTAAACCAGAAAGTCGCTATCGTAAAATCAGACAGATTAATCCCTACAGTTAGAAAATCCCGAACAAACCACCAGTTTTCGTATCAAATTCCCCACTCAAAAACCCAGACCAGAAAGGCATCATTCTTCCCTCGAACTATACCCGAGTGGAATAAACTCCCACCTGACATTATTTCGAGCCCCACAACGGAATTATTCAAATCAGCCCTCTACTGTCACCTTTCAAACGCAAATTAGACCATCTCGTATCTTTTAAAAACAATCTCTTTCCATGTTTCACTCCTCGTCTGACATTTTATCTTCAAATTGTTGAAGTTGGTCAGTACCATTTAGAAGTAGAAGTAGAATCATTATTTAGAGGGGGCATCTCAGAATGTCTGACTTGTTCAGATTGCAAGATGCCCCCTTCACTCCAATGTTCATTTGCAAACTCACCCTTAAGAAGTCTAATTGGACAAGTTAATTCCTCCTCCAAGTCTCCATCAGCCATGGTCAAGGTTAATTCCAGCTCCACACTTTCATACACGTAAAGGGACACGTCTGGGGCTCCCTCAAACTGACCAGTACTGCCCGCCGATGTTGACCAGTCATTATCACCCTACAAACCACAAAGTCACAAACTAATGAACAGCCTATAAATCCCACCCTAACATCATAGCTTTTCAAAAGTTGAAGCATTACCACTTTTACTGCCGTTTCCATTCAGGTGAACTGGATGGTAGGACAATACAATGATGAAGTTTGACTTATTTACCTGAGATTCAGGTGAACTGGATGGTAGGACAATACAGTGGTGACGTTTTGACTTATTTACCTGAGACTCAGGTGAACTGGATGGTAGAACAATACAGTGATGAAGTTTGACTTATTTACCTGAGATTCAGGTGAACTGGATGGTAGAACAATACAATGATGAAGTTTGACTTATTTACCTGAGACTCAGGTGAACTGGATGGTAGGACAATACAGTGATGAAGTTTCACTTATTTACCTGATATTCAGGTGAACTGGATGGTAGGACAATACAGGGATGAAGTTTGACTTATTTACCTGATAGTCAGGTGAACTGGATGGTAGGACAATGCAGTGGTTACGTTTTGACTTATTTACCTGAGACTCAGGTGAACTGGATGGTAGAACAACACAATGATGAAGTTTGACTTATTTACCTGATATTCAGGTGAACTGGATGGGAGGACAATACAATGATGAAGTTTGACTTATTTCCCTGAGATTCAGGTGAACTGGATGGTAGGCCAATACAGTGGTGATGTTTGACTTATTTACCTGATATTCAGGTGAACTGGATGGTAGGACAATACAATGATGAAGTTTGACTTATTTACCTGATATTCAGGTGAACTGGATGGTAAAACAATACAGTGATGAAGTTTGCCCTCACACGTTGCAATAACTAGTACAGTCGGAGCCTCGCCCAAACAGCACACAGCACAGGCATCCACACCATAGTTGTCTTCAGCTGGGGGGTGCATCAGTAGAGGCCCCTGGGGCGGAAGCTTTACTGGGCTGTAAAAGTCATGTTCATTTGTTACCGTGTTATCACAACTCCCAATACCATACAATGTATTCTCTAGAATCAGCTGATATCATTTTACAAATCGTGATGTATTCAATAGGAGTTGAAGGAAAACTTCACCAGTAAATCCATATTTACCCCGTTTCAGTTTTACTCTTCACATTTGATTACTTTGTATATGATATTTTAGTTTAGCTGCTATGGTTAATTCAGCCTTATTACAGGTTAACATTTTAAGTTTAACTGTGACAAAAATGTCCTGGTATACAGTCAATGAAGACTGGCTAGATCCATGAGATATTGCATCTAGTAACAGTAACCTTGACGTTGGGTGTGGAAGTCACATTGATAGACAATGTCTGTATGAGATTTATTTGAAATCTTATCACAAAAGAAGGCTCCAAAGAGTCTCTGTACAATTTCTTTTTAAGGAGGGTCACAGTCTCAGTTTATACAAAATTAAGTCCTCTCTCCCAAAGAATGCTCCAAACCACATTTGGTTTAAATTCCTTTATTTGTACAGAAGGAGAAAGTTTTTCTGTTATTTCCCCTATTTGGTCTGGCCCCTAGGGTGGGCGGGCGGGNCGGGTACAGGGCACACCCTCTGTTTATACAATACTTAGTCCCCTTTGCCGAAAGATGCTCTAGAACAAAATTAATTAGGATCCTGCCATTGGTTTTAGAAGGAGAAGGTTTATGAAGACTTCACCTTTTTTTCTCCTCTGTTTCTCTGTCCCTAGGGGGCCAGACTCTCTGTGTGTATAAAATTAACAACCCTTTGGCCAAAGATGTTCCATATCAAATTTGGTCAAAATTCACTGAGCCGCTAAGAACAAGTAGCGTTTTAAAAGAAATAGTTGTAAGTGCACAGACACCGCGCCATGACATAAGCTTTTTGGACCAGGTGAGCTTAACACTGTAGAGAATGACATGACATCACAATTTATTATGATGTCTTTACTTGGTTCTCAGGCCCGCGCGCATTTCATTTTAGGGCACCACATTGCCGATTTTATCGTGAAAGTAATAAAAAAAAATCATGAACGCGCTAGCCGCCGGAAAATTGGTTTGCATGTCGTTTTTACTTGTTAGTCACCCAAGTCCCGAAAACGTTTGAATAATGATATACAGGCAAGCGTTGAAACGATTATGACTTAAAAATCTTGTGTAGGAAAGGGTGCTCATTTCGGTACAAATAAGGAATGGGGGGTCTGTGATTCCTCCCTGGAACATCGTGGGGGGATTTTCGGAAGCTTGCTCCTCGACAGATCTCTACACAACTATAAAAAGCAGTCGTTCCCAGATAAACTCCGTTCTGCTAAAGTATCTGTGTGCGTTGGGCATAAAAAAACTGACACATCTGACAAGGTAATGTCCACAATGAATGTTTTACAAACTACACGGTTGTTTGGAATAAAAAAAAAAACTCTCTCGTTTCATTTTTACTATGTAAAATGATTTTTTTTTTACTTCCCTGCCTCATCTCTTTTGAAAAAAATTGGCCTGAGAACCAATTAATTCTTTTTTTTTTGGCCTTATCCTTAACTTGCTATAAAACATGTTAAAAACATGATAACATTTGTGAATCAACAATTTGCCTGTTATCAAACAGTGTCCAAACTGAGATGAAATTTAACAATACATATAGGAGAAATACATATCTGTCAACATAAGCATGCACTATGTTTTGTCGTAAACTGTACTGTGATGTCAGGTAATAAAGGCATCCATGTCAGCTACTTCTGATGTCAGAAGCGTCTCCTCTTTCTGATGTAAGAAACAACACCATCTCTTTCTGATGTAAGAAACAACACCATCTCTTTCTGACGTAAGAAACAACACCATCTCTTTCTGACGTAAGAAACAATACCATCTCTTTCTGATGTAAGAAACAACACCATCTCTTTCTGATGTTAGAAACAACACCATCTCTTTCTGATGTTAGAAACAACACCATCTCTTTCTGATGTAAGAAACAACACCATCTCTTTCTGATGTAAACAAGAGGCCAAGGGCCTTAGCGGTCACCTGAGTTATATCATAGGTACTGGTAGCTTTATTTTATTGTTTAGATGTGATGTGGAAATCAGCATGTAAACTAAGTGAAATACAATACTTGTCATGTCATCAA